TGACTATGGATTAACTCTTTACTTCTCCATTGTTTATGAATTGAAATAATGCCTTACATCGTCAGCTCGGTCTTACATTGAAAGCATAGCTTAGCAAAATTCAGTTATTTGATTTTCATCCTCCTCCTTTGAAGTTTGTTAAAGTTGTGAAATGGAAAAGAGTGGAAATAGAAAGTTGTTAATTTTTGTGGATTGAATCGATTTCAAAAACATGCATGCTTGTTTTATTAGAATCACTAATCAAAAGATACAAAGTTACACCAAATACAACTTAGCAACTTGGGAATTACAAACTGAAATTATAAAGGTCTATTGATCTTAGAGAAGAGCCTTTAGTTGATCCGCTGGCTTTAGGAGATGCTTCGTAGTTCTTGGGCTTGTTAGAGCATGGGGATGACCCTTGACTTTTCTTGGGCGTACCTATTTTGTTGATAGGTAAGTTGCTCTTGATGTAGGGGAATCACCAATAGTAGTGACATTTGAGGCACTGTGTAGGCCTATTGTTGTCATGGTGAAGGGATGCCCTCTCTCTCCAATAAAACTTGTAGGACCAAGCTCCATCAAGTCTCTAGTAGACAATCTCTTTCTTCCACAGTTTCATACTTCCTCAAGCGAGTACCAAGAAATCAGCTAGCATGTGGATAACAGTTGGATAAGGGCAAAGGTGGAAATGCATGCGATGCAAATGTATGAATGTATGTGAATGCATGGGTATGCAAAAATGTTTTTGGCTTTAGGTTATGCAAAATTTTTTATGGAGATGAAATGCGACGCAGACGTAGTATGAGGGTAGACACAGGGGTACCCTATACAAGTTTGATGATAGATATGAAAATGATAATATCCTACATTGTCTCAGGTATTGAAACAGATAGGAATTCCTTAAGGACGAAGATGATTTGATGTGGGTTTGGAGGTACCCTATACTAACTCAAATATTGAGACATATAGGAATTCCTTAAGGGCGAAGGTAATGATAAATATGGAAATGGGAATACCCTACACTGACTCAGATATTGAGACATATATGAACTTCTTAGGGATTAGGGACCATAGAAGCCGAAGGGGAATCCCTACAAGCTAGAGATGGTAATTGAGGGGCGAGAATTCCTACAAGCTAGGGATTGTAATAGACTAATGGACGGTTGAAGAATCCCTACATGCTATGGGTTGTGACTTTTGAAAGATATACCCTACATGCTAAGGATTGTAGTATATCGAAAGTAACCCTTGCGGGTTTAGGGATAATGGAAATGAGATTATATGAATGATATCCTTATAAGGTAGGCTCCTAGTTTTGGCCTACGGATATTCTACCCTCCCCATAAGGCGGCTTCCTTAAGGGTATCACGAATAACACCAGAGGGAAAAGGCACAAGAGCCTCCCTTAGGTGGAGCCTCTTTACGGACCGAGACTTTCGTCTCAAAGTCGTGAAAGGTATCGTCATGAGATTTTGGTTTAAGGTCGTTACAAAGAGTCATGGGTGTCCTTCCAAAGTCCTACTCGTCAAGAGGATATCTCTCGATAAATATTCCTTTTGCGGAATTCCACCAACTCTAGGCGAAGTCGTCACATAAACTCGCAGGGGTGATATATCCCCTAAGCTAATAGACGAACCTTCTTTCTAAGGGTTATATTGAAAATATTTTTGAGACAACAATTCCCGCCACGCAATAAACATATAAAGATAAGAAAAATTGACAATAAATAAATAAATGCAATAAATAAATAAATAAAGTAAAAAACCCAAAACAGACCTAAGACCTAGGGTTGAGTCCCCAGTAGAGTCGCCAGCTGTTGCGACCGGTTTTTAAATGAGAGTCGCCACTATTAATTTTTATCCTAAGGAAGGGCATCTAATAGGAAACCCTAAATTGTAAAATAGAGATTCTAAGATTCAGACTTCATTAGACGAAAAGAAGGTGTTAGGCACCTTTGATCTACCTTGTTCACAAGGATACTAGGTTTTAGGTTTAGGTTCGGGTAAAATAGGGTTTTAAATTTTAACAGGGGAACTCGCCATGATTTTTGATTGTATGCTTACGTATCCTCTTATGAGGAATCAAATTCTCGATTCGTAGTTCGTATGGGGTTGGTGTTTTTTAGGGGTTGCAAATGTATTTTGAATCACCTCGCATTTTGACCGGTTGTAGTGATTGCGGAGATTTTAGCTAAATGCGTGATTAGTCAAAATCCGTTTGAAACCCTTTTGCAAAAAATTGTTTGTTTAGATTAGTTTGTTGCGAAAAATAGTTTGAGATTTGTTGAGTATTTTTTATCGTATTAATTGCAAAAACTCTTGATTAATGCATGATAAAAATATTTAATGCAAATATGTATAAAAAAATATGTTCATGAGTTTTAAATAAACATAATTTATTTATGATAATAAATAATATTTACATATAATATAAAATTGATATTATATAATAATAACTATTATTATAAAAAAAAAATAATTATAATAATAACATAAGAATTAAAAATAGATAAAATTATAATATAAAAGAAATAATAAAAGAAATAATTTAATTAAATCTGGGGGGTGTAGTTCTTTGTTAATAAGTAAAACTAGGGGGGTGCTGAAAATAGTTTGGGTTAGGCCTATGTGTGATTCTGGACAGGGGGTGCTAAGTGTTTAGTGGTTTAGTAATTCAGGACAAAGGGGTGTGCTAAAATCACCGGGCTTAGGCCCAAAATGTTTGGGAGGAGGGCCGGCGTAATCGAGTGTGGCGAGGGATTATGTTAGTTAACGTAGACTTGGTCTAACGGCCGTCAGATCAAGATCATGCGGTCAAAGTTGAGGGACCATGTTAACTATCATATGAGTGCAGATACAAGATTGGACGAAATACATATTTCAATTAAAATTCATTTTCTTGTTTTTTTTATTACAGCACACATCACCTTCCTGTCTCTTGCTTCTCAACCCTTTCCTCTGTAACCCTAAAACTCATCCCCCCGGCGGCGCTCCCCTTACCCTCCGATTACCACCCTTTATCACCCAAATACAAGAGCAAATAAACAACAAAGAAAAAACTAAGCTCTACCCTCGTGCAATTATCCCGATTCCGAGCTTCTGAGTTTCGATTCCGGTGCTAATCCTCCTTCTTATTTTTATGATCGCAGATTCCAGTGAGCTAGAGGTGGCGCGGCGGAGTGTTAAGGATGGTGGTGGACGCGATTGCAGCGACAGAGACGATAACAACTAGGGTTTCAGATATCGAAACCCCAGTTGGCGCTTGTTCTTCTACAACCGGTGAATGTTCTTCGCGACTCTGGGTTCTCCTTCTTCGTCTTTGAAATTCCTATGTCTTCGTATTTTTTTTACTGTAAAATCTGCCTCCCTTCTCTATTGTCCCAATCCTTCGGTATTTATATGTTTCAGTATTTAGGTTTTTGTAAATTGCCGTTAGGAATTGCTTAGCACAAATTTTAGGGAATTAGGATCAATTAGGGATTTGATTGATACGGTATATCGTAATTTACGGATTTTGTAACATTGAATGAATGTAATTGATTTTTTTTCCTGGATTTGGTTTACTGTAAGATTTGATTAGTTTTCAATTTAATTTCCATAGTATGCGTAAATGAATAAAAATGTGCGTGAATTTATGTTTGAATTGATACAATGTGTGTTTTTTCAATTGGGCCTGCTCACTACTTGCTCCACTCAGCCCAACGCTTTTTCTTCTTAGCCATACTGGGCCTTGCATTGTTTATTTTATTATTTAGCCCCAGTAGCATCATAATTGTTACAGCAAAACCATTTTTTTAACAACAATAGGCCCAATCGGCCTTTTTCCCAAAACAACAATAAAATAAGCAATCTTTAATAAAAATGACATTTAACCAGAAAAAAATTTAAATCAAATTTATCAGTAGTAAACAAATGCGTTAAGTTTTCTTTTAAAAATAAAAAAAAAATATTATTCATAAGAATAACAATTTTCTTTTCTTTAATAATAATAAGACTTCTTTTTTTTTTCTTTCCTTTCAAAAACAACAAATGGACCATAAAGAACTTAATGGGCTTAATTTAATTTCAACCTCTCTTTTACTAACAACTTATTAATAATATAGAACTTTATAGTTACTCGAATAATTTTTATTTTCGAATCGCATGGGCCATTGGCCAACATGCCTCACGAACGGGTTTATGAGTCTTTCTGATTTAGAAAGCCCCATTTTCCCGAATTAAAATACACCTCCTGATTGTCTTGGATAAAGATGGGCCATCAGATACTGCTGTACCATCTTTAATTAAACATTCTTTCTATTTTAATCTTAAAAAATAAAATCATCGAGGTAGGTCAAATTTGGGGTATGATACAAAGAAATCAAAGAGCAACTCAAATGTCGAAGTTCATGGATACACTGACTCAAACTTCAGTGGAGATCAAGACGAAAAGAAGAGTACTGCATAATATATTTTCATGATCGAAGGAGCTCCAATCTCCTGGAGCTTAAGGAAGCAGAGCATTGTGGCTTTGTCATCATGCGGAGCAGAATATATGACTGCATCATATGCTGCATGTCAAGCAGCATGAATCGAAATGCTACTTTGAAGAACTCAAAATAATGGAATCAAAGATGAAGCTGTTTGTTGATAACAAGTCCAGCTATAAACCTTGCGAATCACCTAGTGTGTCATGTCGAAGTAAACACATTGAAAGAAGGTATCATTTTCTGAGGGATCAAGTCAACAAAGGGAAGCTCGAAATAAAACATTGCAAGACAAAAGTGCAACTAGCTAACATATTCACCAAACCTCTAAAAAAAGTGAGGTTCAAAGAGTTAAAGAAAGACATCGGATGAGAAGTCTCAAGAACATGAATTAGGGAGTGTGCTAGTTGTATAATTCTTGTTCAGTTATATTTGAGCTTTTAGCATGTGTATTTGGGTCTGAGCACTTTGCCTATATAAAAGGCTATTATGTTTGTAATCAATAGAGCAATAATAATACAGTCGATTAGAAAGTTAGTTACGCTCAACTAACTCACAATTTCTCTCTCTTCTTCTTCTTCTTCTTCTTCTTCTTCTTCTTCTCCTTCTTCTCCTTCTTCTCCTTCTTCTCCTTCTTCTCCTGCTTCTGCTTCTGCTTCTTCTTCTTCTTCTTCTTCTTCTTCTTCTCCTCCTCCTTCTTCTTCTTCTCCTTCTTCTTCTTCTTCTCCTTCTTCTCCTTCTTCTCCTTCTTCTCCTGCTTCTCCTGCTTCTCCTGCTTCTGCTTCTGCTGCTCCTGCTTCTCCTGCTTCTCCTGCTGCTCCTGCTTCTCCTGCTGCTCCTGCTGCTCCTGCTTCTCCTGCTTCTCCTGCTGCTCCTGCTGCTCCTGCTTCTCCGCTTCTCCTGCTCTTCTCTGCTTCTGCTTCTTCTGCTTCTTCTTCTGCTTCTTCTCCTTCTCCTCCTCCTCCTCCTCCTCCTCCTCCTCCTCCTTCTCTCCTCCTTCTCCTCCTCCTCCTCCTCCTCCTCCTCCTTCTCCTCCTCCTCCTCCTTCTCCTCCTCCTCCTCCTTCTTCTCCTCCTCCTTCTCCTTCTCCTTCTTCTCCTCCTCCTCCTCCTCCTCCTCCTCCTCCTCCTCCTCCTCCTCCTCCTCCTCTTCTTCTTCCTTCCTTCTTCTTCTTCTTCTTCTTCTTCTTCTTCTTCTTCTTCTTCTTCTTCTTCTTCTTCTTCTTCTTCTTCTTCTTCTTCTTCTTCTTCTTCTTCTTCTTCTTCTTCTTCTTCTTCTTCTTCTTCTTCTTCTTCTTCTTCTTCTTCTTCTTCTTCTTCTTCTTCTTCTTGAATCCTTTGTTCCAACAAACCTCACTCTTTTTAAAAGCTTTGCAAAATTCTCATGTCTTTTGACTATTTTATTATATTTTCTCTTTTGTGTTCAAAAACCAACTTTTTAAAATAAGAAAAAGTAGTAAAATTCTCATATCTTTGAATACTTTATTATATTTTGTGTAAAAACTAAATAAGTTTTGAAAGTTTAATAAAATTCATATATATATTTTGTTAATTTTTTTAGTATACTTCTTAATTTATCTTCAAAAACTATTTTAAATTTTAAACAGAGTCAACACTATCTTGAAATATTTTGGTTTAGATTAGTTATAATTAGGATTGTTCGTAGATTATGTTGAGTTTAATTTAATTAAATCCAATACTCAAATTCAATTAATAGTTTTTGATTTGGGTTAAATATTCAACCCGTACTTCTATTATTAAGTCCGAATGAAATCAACTCGCTCATCAATAGATTGAGTTGGATTGGACTGGTGGATCATCCATAAATATAATTTTCAAATTCTAAATAAAATTTCAATTTAATTAACAAATTTATTTTACAAAAAACATTAAAAATTATAAAATTTTAATATTTAATTTAAATAAAATTGATGATTTAATACCTACAATTTTTTATACAATTAAAATCAAGTTAAAAAAAAATATAAAAATAGTGTAAAGTATAATTTAAAAGATAAGATATCTCTCTCTCTTCGAATAAATAAATTTGATATCTCAAATTTGATTTAAATTTAAATTTTTATAATTAATAAAAACTATAATTATATTTTTAAAAGTATATGAAATTTTACTATATAATTTATAAATAAAATAAAATAAAAATAAGGTAATATGTCAATGAGTTAGATTTACGTATTTAAAACTTCAAACCCGTCATCCAAATCAAATAAAAATAGATTGAAATAAATTGATTTAGATTAGATCTATATATGATTAGGATAAAAAAAAAAAGGAATAAATTGAGTGAGTGGATTTACAAATTGACCGTTCTCATCAACATCCCTAATTACAACTTTGTAATCGACTCCCAAATTTAGAACATCATTGTCCATCCTTAACTATCCACCAGCTCCCCTCCAAACTTTTTCCGTTCTCTCCAAAGTAAATTACCTGCCATCCTTCCTCCTTCATGCAACAACGAAGGTACGTTTTGTTTCTTACACGCAGGCTTCTTCCCTTAAAAATAAAGATAAGACGATTATAACACATTTTATATAATTTAGTAATATAATGTAACTTAAGTTATACTAATTAAATTAATATTTGTAATTTTCGGAAATAGGTACGTGTATTGAAAGCTCAAGATAACTTGACTTCCCTCCTACCTTATTGGCGTAATCGAGAGTTAAACACCAGTTCTGTGTTTTTGCATCTTCTCTTCGCTCTCATTCTCTTTCCATCAGCGCCAGCGCGCGCAATTCATACACCAATTCTCTTCATGGCGGTTATTATACCCACTCAACTCATCTCAATTTTCTCTCTAATTTTTCTACACCTTATTTGCTTTTCTCCTTACCTCGCTCTTTCTATTAACCCTAACAATCTCTTGCTTTTCCCAACAACAAACAACCCTAACGCCTCTCGTCCCGCCATGATCCTCCCTCTGCATCTCACTTCTCCCGATTCTTCAATCTCATCGTTGAATCCTCGCCGTCAACTCCAGAGATCCGAATCACAACACCATCCTAACGCTCGCATGAGACTCTACGACGATCTCCTTATCAACGGGTTGGTTCGATTACTCTCTTTCATTTCCTTCACGATTTCATTTTATAACCAGATTTTTATGCATATGCTTGATAGTTTTCGTGTGTGAAATTCGATTGCGTAGATATTATACCACGCGGCTCTGGATCGGTACTCCTCCTCAGAGATTTGCTCTTATTGTTGATACGGGAAGTACTGTTACTTATGTTCCTTGTTCTACTTGCGAACACTGTGGTAGGCACCAGGTAATAATAATTCTTCAATGCTTTTTTTTATTTCAATTATACTATAAGTCTAGAAATTAATGATTATATTGATTGATGATTAAATTTGTGTAACGAATGTCTAATTGGCTTGTGAATTGAATATTGTTTATGAAGCACGAACACATTGACTGATGATGATACGGCGACGGTGATAATAATTTGAAAAATGTAAATTAATTGTAATAACAAGTGTCATTTTCGGACATGGACACCTATACTAATAAGTCGACAATGGTAATAATTACTCCATTCGTTTCAAAATGAATGTCGTTTAAGATTTTTGCACACAGATTAAAAAATGCAATCATATTGTCATGAGACATTGCACTTTTACTAAATTAACCTTATTAATTAATTTATTGGAAATAGTGTGGAGAGTAAAAATTATAGGACACAATTGAAAAAATATGTATCACTACTACATTGAAAAGTGAGAATGACATTCATTTTGAAACAATTTTTTTTCTTTAAAACGACACTCATTTTGAAACGGAGGGAGTAAAAAATACGAATAAATTAAATGGTTTCAGACATGGACACACTATTTTTCAGAGTTGTTGTCGGTGCTACAGAGCTCATGGTTATGGAAAAAATAGTTTACTCACACAAGGGTTTATTATATGATTATTTGATTTTGGTGCTGAATTTTGCATGTTTTCACTCCTGGCTACGGTGTGTTATTTTTTTGTAAGTGATGAAAACGAAGAGGTAGAAGTAGAATATGGAGGACTGATTTTGTCTGTATCTTGAAATGGTTTTGGAAAAGAATAATTTCATTTAGAATTTGTTGCTTTGTCCCACTGTGTGTAACTCTTGTGATTTATATGAAGAAAGATTGGTTTGGGTGGCTAATTTTATTTTAATAGGATCCAAAGTTCCAGCCTGACTTGTCGACAACTTATGAACCTGTAAAATGCACACCGGATTGCAACTGTGATGGTGATAAGAGGCAGTGCATGTATGAGAGACAGTATGCTGAAATGAGCAGTAGCAGTGGACTCCTTGGTGAGGATGTTGTGTCCTTTGGAAATCTGAGTGAGCTTCCACCCCAACGTGCTGTCTTTGGCTGTGAAAACGATGAGACTGGTGACCTCTATAGTCAGCGTGCTGATGGTATCATGGGTTTGGGTCGGGGAGATTTAAGTATCATGGATCAATTGGTTGATAAAAAGGTAATAAGTAATTCATTCTCACTATGCTATGGTGGAATGGATGTTGGTGGAGGTGCTATGATTCTTGGCGGAATAACTCCCCCATCAGACATGGTCTTTACACATTCAGATTCTGGTAGAAGGTGTGTGTCAAATTTCCTTATCTATCAATTATGAGATTTCATGCATTTTCTTAAAAAATGCATTTGATTAATCTCACATTTACTCTAGTTTCGGGATGGCAACAGTCCATATTACAATATCAATTTGAAGGAGATACATGTTGCGGGGAAGCAATTGCGGTTAAACCCAAAGGTTTTTGATGGGAAGCATGGAACTGTCTTGGATAGTGGCACCACTTATGCATACCTACCAGAAGTTGCATTTCTTGCTTTTAAACGTGCTGTAAGTTCTTTCAAAAATATCATAAAATGTTCCGAGTTGCATTTCTTGCTTTCCAACATAGAGTTGTCTTCTGAGTTGCACTAACTTAAAAAATGCTACAATCTAAACCATTTAACCTTTCTAAAGCGATATCCCTTACTTAATACTGTAGTTAAAAGTACCCTGAATTATTGTAGATTCTCTTTATTCAAACGGGAAGCACAAGGGTGCCATACTTGTTATTGGGTGTTCTTTGAATATAATATAATTGAATACTCATAATTTTAAGATGCTTTCATTTATGTGTTTTCTGTTATTTTCTTCTTTTAAAAATCATACTGAATTTTCTTTCCAGTCATTATAAACCATTAATTTTGGAACCTCATTTAAACAATAATGATTTGAAGTTTCCCCTTCTAAAGCTGTGTTTTGGTCTTCATATCTCTGGGATGTCTTCCTATCTTTGGGATATCTTCCTAATCAGCTCATTTAATTAAAAGATTCAATGTAGTCTGTCAAATGTATGTGCCATTTATAATGGAGAACCTGTTTTATTCATTCGTCATCATTGATAGTTTAGTTTATTAATTGTTGTATATTATAGCCAGATATCGTGTTCATGTTTACAATAAAACTGAGTATCCTGTAAAGATAAACCTTATCTTGAATGTCTGATGGGTTTGCTTTTGTATTTACTTGTTATGCAGATTATGAGGGAACATAACTCTTTGAAGCAAATTAGTGGCCCAGATCCAAATTATAAAGATATATGTTTTTCTGGTGCTGGAATGTATGTCTGTATCATTGTTATGTAATGATAACACAAGCCTATTGCAGCACATTAACGGTTCAAATTTACTTGTATTTCAGAAATGTCTCTCAACTCTCTAAAAGCTTTCCAGTGGTTGACATGGTATTTGAAAATGGTCACAAGCTGTCACTGTCTCCTGAAAATTACTTGTTTCGGGTTAGTGATATAAGATCATTAGTATCTTCAACTGTGTTTATAGGTTAACTGATTCTCTAATCCCTACTTTTCTTGTGGCTATCTTTTTATAAAGCATTCAAAAGTACGTGGTGCATATTGTCTGGGGGTTTTCTCAAATGGAAGGGATCCAACAACTCTTTTAGGAGGTAACTAATTTACTGTGGGTAACTCCAGTTCATTTCATACTTTGTGCTGATTGGAAGCAGAATTATTAATTCCGGATAGCAGAGCGGAGCGGCCAACCCCGAGAATGGGAATAGTGGAAATAGCGGGATCTCGGATAGCGGGATAACTTCTTATATACTAATAATTATATAATAATCTATTAAACTAATTTCAGAACACTCATAAAATATTTATAAAATCTAATGTTAAACAAAGAACAATAATTATTATTAATGTTGCCTTTAATTTTTATTATTAATATTATTATTTTTATTAATAAAACATTTAATAAAACTCATCTAGTCTTTAAGTTTTCAGATAGGAGTAATTTTTTAGAGTTAAATCCAATTTGACAATTATTTTTATTACTTATAGCCGTAGGTCATTAATTTTACAGCTTTATGTTAAGTAAAATTTTTATATTAAATTACTTTACAGCTTTTGATAAGATGACCAAGTTGCCTTTTTACTTTTGAACTCTTTTTTATCAACAAAACAAATCTCTTTCATCTTCTCTCCATCTTCTATGTTCTTCTACATCTTCTCTTTCATCTTTTCTTTCGTAAATCCAGAAAAAAAAAGTGAAAAATATGAAAATCAGTCAAAACCGCTCTGCCCGGGAAGAACCTGTGATCCGCGACCCGGTTTCGCGGGCATAGCGCCTGCTAAATCATCTCCGCAACCGCACCCAATGAATCGCGCGGGTGGGTGCCGCACCGCTCCGGTGCGCCGCGATAGCGGCCTTAGTTGCCGCGATTCATAACTCTGATTTGAAGTATTGTTCCTTAGTTTTTGTGTTAGATCGGTAGCTTATGAGTTATATGGGTTTGTCTAGCACTTTAGTGATTGTTCCTACACTGTTTGTGTAGGTATCTTTGTCCGTAACACTCTTGTAATGTATGATCGTGAGAATTCTAAAGTTGGTTTCTGGAAAACAAATTGTTCTGAGTTATGGGAAAGATTACACATCTCTGATGTCCCATCACCAGCACCTTCAAATTCAGAAATAACGAACTTAACCAAAGCATTTGAACCTTCAGTTGCCCCATCACCAGCGCCTTCAAATTCAGAAATAACGAACTTAACCAAAGCATTTGAACCTTCAGTTGCCCCATCTCCAGCTCCATCGCAGGATAATATTGATCAAAGTAACACTATTTCCTACTGTTTTAATTTTATTTGAATTGTATACAGAGACATCATGTGTAATCATGTATAGGTGTTAAACTTACACAAAGTAGTTCATGTTATTTATTTTTTAAAAGTTTGTGTGGTTGCTTTGTAGCGTATTTGCTCACTAATGAGTAACGACTAATCTCCTATGATTGTCTTGAATGAGCAGGTGAACTCCAAATTGCTCAAATAACAATTTCCATTTCATTTAACATAAG